TTTAAATACCAGCTATATGCCAACAACTACCAAGTCTATTTATACAGCCCAGACCTCTCTCCTGAACTCCAGATTTGTCTATGCAAATGCCTACTCATTGTCTCCATTTGGTTGCGTAATAGAAACTTCAAACTCAAACATCTGAAACCTGAGTGAAAGGTACCATTGGAGGTTTAGGGGCTGTGTGGGACAGAGAACTTGGTTTGGCCTTTGACTCTGGTTTCTGAAAATAGTACTCGGAATAGCCCAGGCAGTTAAGGTGCTCTTTGTTTTCCAAGGAAACCCTGGTGGTCTAGTGGTTAACAGCTACGGTTGCTAACCAGAAGATCAACAGTTTGAATCCACCAGCCGCTCCTTGGAAATCCTATGGGGCAGTTCTGCTCTGTTCTGTAGGGTCCCTGTGAGTCGGAATCGACTCGATGGCAATAGGTTTGGTTTGTTTGTTTGTTTTCCAAAATAGCCAGACAACACTTAAAACTGTGTAAATAGGTAGGTGGCTACACAGACCCCACCCTGGCAACAGGCACCCTCCTGACGACAGGCTTCCGGAAGGGAGGGGCATGATACAGTCAGTCATGCATATTCATTGATTGGCTTGATCATAACTATGCATTAAGGCCCCAGTCATGCATATTCCTTGAGGTCCCAGTGACTAAGGGATCCTGGACTTTGGAGCTTCCTCTTTTGGGGGCTTCCTGGATTGGTGAGAACATTTAAGGATCTAGAGGGTGTGGCTTGTCCCTGGGAACAATGGAAGCCTTATGCAGCGAGGTCTCCCAGACCGTGCTGGATGACTCTCTTCTGCTTGTATTCTTTCCTTTCTGGTTATGATAAATGGATAACTGTAAGTACTGATAATAACCCGTTGCTTTCGCATCGATTCTGACTCATAGCAACCCTATAGGACAGAGTAGAACTGCCCCATAGGGTTTCCAAAACTGTAAATCTTTATGGAAGCAGACTGCCACATCTTCTTCCTGAAGAGCAGCTGGTGGGTTCGAATACCCGACCTTTTTGTTAGCAGCTGAGCACTTGACCACGGTGCCACCAGGGCTCCTTGAGCCATTAGAAAGAATTAACAAACAAGGGGCGATGGGATTCTGACTTAGCTCAGGGTAGCTAATTCAGAGGAGGGCTGCACAGGCAGTCGTAAGGACAGAGTCCTAACTTGTGAGGAACCAGCTTTGGGTGACTGGGTAACAGAGAAGGGCTGCACGGGCAGTCAGTAAAGAAGGACAGAGTCCTTCTAACCTGTGACCTAGCCCCAGGGGGCTAGAGAGAGAGAGGGGCTGGCCGGTCTGAAGTGCAGGGAGTTGTGCAGACTCTTGAGCCCACGGCTGGTACCTGATGACCTGGCCTTTGGTGGCCAGGGATGTTTTGACCTAAATGGGTGGTTAGGGTGAGAGAAGTGCCACAAAAGTGGCTGGCAGTTAGGAGTGGAGATGGGGAAGGGTTAGGCCTGGATCCGTTTCCAGATAAGAATTGGATTCATTTTGATTCTTACCATGCAGTTAGTGATAAAGGTGGGGTTTGCCCACCTTGCCCTTTTAATAGTGCAGTTAGCAGCAGTGTGCAGGGGCATAGGAGTGACACCAGCTATCTGATTATTATTTTATTAGGGTCACTCTGGCTGCTGTTGAGAATAAACGGAGGGGACAAGGACAGAAACAGGGAAACCAGTTAGGAAACTCTTACATGCTTTCTTTACTCAATTGCTCTAGCTAAAACTTTCCATCTGGGAGTTCTGCTTGTTCTACTTTCAGAATACACCCAAGGTCTGATCACTTTTTACCACTACCACTCCTTCCGTTCTGGTCTGAGCCAGGATCTCTCACCTGATTGCTGCACACTCTCCTGACAGGTCTCCTTCCTTCCACCCTTGCCCTCCTTCAGTCTCTTCTCCACACAGCAGCCAGAGTGACCCTGTTACCACCAGAGTTATGTCATTCCTCTTCTGCGGTAGGGGGTGGGGAGGGAAGAAAGAGAGAGTATGGGCGACTCTTTCAAATTGTTCAGCTGTGAGGAGGGAAGGAGAGAAATGGGTGGTAACCGAAGGGGAAGGTGTGGTCAACAAGGCTTTATAAAGATGATAGTATGTCCATATGTTAAAGATTCCGTAGAGGAACCTTGAAAGTGAGAAGGATAGAGGAGGGACTTGCTGGGACAGTGTGCTTGAGGAGGTGAGAAGAGCTGAGGTCTAGTGTACAAGTGGAGGGGTTGGCCTTTGCTGAGAAAGTGAGCTCTTCATTCACAGTAATGGGGCAAGTTAGAGAATATGGACATGCATGCAGGTAGAAGTTGTGGTGGACACTTGTGGAATTGTCTTCAAATGGTTTTGGTTTTCTCAGAAAAATAGAAAGCAAGATCATCAGCTGAGAGTGAGGATGGGGAGGAGATATTGAAGGTTGGAGGAGAGGGTAAAGAAGCAAATGCTCCTTCAGGAGAGTCGGGGAGTGAATGGGACAGGCAGGTGTAGTGTGTAGGCAGCATTTCAGCACACTCGACTTTAGTGATCTTGAATTGAAAGTGAGACCAGTCAGCGTGGTTGGTTTTTCTCCAGCACAGTTCAGCTGTGAGTACAGACATAGACTGAGAGGTGGCTGTGGTCTAATCAGGTGGGTACAGTGAAGTGAGAAGAACAAGGAAGTTGAGACTGTATGCATGGGGTGATTATAACAAATGGTTGTGCTAGGAAGTGAAAGCATGCAAGGATGAGGAACAGTGAAAACATGGTAAGAGTGAGGATTTGTAGGTTCTGCTGGGATGGAAGAATTGTTGTAATTTGGGTACCAGAGGGCAAAAATTGAAATCTAGGAGGTGGAGGTCAGAGTGGGATAATTGAAATTGAGATTAAGGAGGCTTTGGCACTTGTTGGTGGCGAGGACTGCAGCACGACTGTGACAGTGAATGGCTATAGAACTATGGAGGACAAGATTATTGGGGCAGGGTGGGGAGATCAGAGAACTGAGAGACTGGATTGTTGGGAGGATTATTTAGGTGGATATTGAAATGACCAAAGATTATGATAGGAATAGTGTTGGAGAGGAGAAGGGACAGTGAGCCAGGCACTGAAGCCTTCAGGGAATGTCAGAGAATAGGTGTCTATTGGGAATTGGTAGATAACTAAAACAGAGAGGGATAGTAATTGATATTATCTGATGGCACAAAATTTCAAACTAGGTGTCATGTAGAGAGGAGGGAAGGAGAATGGCCTGGAAACAAGTATGAGGAGCAGATGTGGGAAATAAGAAGGTCACCACGTGACTGCGCTTCAGGGGAAGTAGGCCTGTCAGCTGGGAGCCATATATCTGCGGACAGAAAGGTGAAGGGAGCTGTTGCTATGCTTCATACAGGTTTGATTAAAATCATGCATAGATTTTGAAACTAAACATTACTGTCATTTGTTGCGAGTCAAATATTTTCAGATTAGAATTTAAGCTTCTTATATGGACACTGGAGTCCCTGGGTGGTGCAAACAGTCAACGTGCTCAGCTGCTAACTGAAAGGTTGGAGATTGGAATCTACCCAGAGGCACCTTGGAAGAATGGCCTGGCAATCTCCTTCCAAAAAATCAGCCATTGAAACCCCATAGAGCACAGTTCTACTCTGACACGCGTGGTGTTGCCATGAGTTGGAGTAAATTTGACAGCAGCTGGTAAACTGGTGTATGGACGTTGTAATTATATTTGTTAACTGTGTAAATTAAAGCAGATCACACAATCAGTGAAAAATATATATCATATATACATAAAAATACATATTTATTATATATGTTTATATTATATATATTTATACAAACACAGGGTAACAATTTTGGAAGCATATATAGCAAACAAATCAAACTGTCAAGGAAGCATTTCTGCAACATTTGAGGGCTGTTGCTGCTGGGCCAGAGAGGGAGACATTCATTTACTACTTCATACCATTAAATAAGAAAAGAGATCATTGAGTGTTGAAAAACATTTGAGGAATTTCAGTTCTGTGGACAGTTTCCTTAATTATGACAAAATTTTGTCAAATGCAAAAAAAAAATCTTCGTCTTGACAGAGTCACCTCTTTTAATTTTGTTGAAACACACACAGCCCTACACCATGTGCTATTTCATCAGCAATTAATCACATTATGGAAACCTAGAGTCCAGCTGAATCACAGTGTAGCTCCAGGTTTTGTAAGAACTTTGTCCAGCTCCTATAGGCAGAAGCAGCGTTGAGTGGAATCACCCATTTCTTTACCCAAAATTGGCAGTTTGAGTTTGAACTGATATTTTGCTCAGCTTGGTCTGGCATAATTTTTAGAGATATATCAAGCATGTTCTGGTGTCAGCAGTGATCCCCTTATAGCTCCTTGGACTTTTCAAACCATTCGTTCACTCATTTAACGTCTTCAGTCAATATTTGAATGCCTCGTATGTGCCAGATAACTGTTCTGGTAACTGGGAATATAGCAGTGACCAAAACAAACAAAAAATACTTGGCCTTCATGGACCTTGTATTGTAGTGGAGGCGGGGCCAGACAATAAGTAACAAAATAATTATAAGAATCCATACAAATACATAAGGTACCTGGGTGGTGCAAATGGTTTGTGCTTGTCTCCTAACCCAAAAGGTTGGTGGTTCAAACCTTCCCAGGGGCATCGTGGAAGAAAGGCCTGGCAATCTGCTTACCCAAAGATTACAGCCAAGAAAACCCTATGGAACAGTTGCAGTCTGTAGCACACGGGGTTGCTATAAGTCAGAATAGGTTCCAAGGAAAAGTTTTTTTGTTTGGTTCTATTTTGTTTTAATGGATAAAAATAAAGCAGGGTTAGGGAAATAGGGAACTGAGGGGAGGGGCATTGCTATTTTATGTAGAATGAGCTGAGAAGTACAAAGGCCCTGAGGGAGAGCATGCTTGACATATTTGAGGATGTAGTATCAGGGAGAGACCAGAGTACCTGAGGCAGAGTAAATGAGGTAAGTATGGTAAGAAGTGAGGTTATTCATTTATGTATTTTATTTCAGGAGTTAGTGACCTTCAGAGATGTGGCTGTAGACTTCTCCCAAGAGGAGTGGGATTGCCTGGACTCTTCTCAAAGACATCTGTATAGTAACGTGATGTTGGAGAACTACAGGATCTTGGTGTCACTGGGTAAGGACATGTTCCCCTTTACAAAATTCAGCATCTGCTCATGAGGGGCCCTTTGCTACCACCATGCTGGACTTCCATGTATTTAGGTAGACTTTTAGATAACATCTGCAATACTTGACGGAATGTCTGCTTCCTATGCCAAAGAAATGGTTTAATACTTGTGGAGGTGGCAGTGGACAGGTCTATTATTAGCCTATGCCTGAAGTTTCATCTTCCCTCTTCTTCTAATCTATGTCCTTTATACATTTTTCCCTGGCTTACTGTAAGCTTCCTCTTTCCTGATGATCAAAGGATTGGGTGTGAGTTCTGTTTCTTTTCATGTTTGCAGGACTTTGCTTTTCTAAGCCAAGTGTGATATTATTGTTGGAGCAAGGGAAAGAGCCCTGGATGGTGAAGAGGGAGCTGACAGAAGGTCTGTGCTCGGGTGAGTGAAGAGGAAAAAGGCAGGCAGAGTTCATTTCAGGTCACAGCTTAGCTTGGCTCAGTGGTGGCACCTTTTTACTATACTTTGTTGACATAGTCTTCTCAGATGTTCTGGGTCTTAGTACAAACTCAGGGCCTGTTAGGGTGTTTTGTGGTTTTTAACTCTCTCTTCTCTCCCACTTTGCCCCTGCCTTTCTAATATCTCATTTATCTATTCTCTAAGTCCCCTTCCTTCTCAGTTTCATAAACCTCTTCTAATCTTTAAAAAATCTTTTCCTAATCTGATACTTTTGAGGTCTGTGGACAGTTGTAATTGAAGTACCAGGTTCAAATCCTGGCACTTATATACAGTGAAATTTGGGGCAGATTATTTAACCTCTCTGTGATTTTGTTTTATTATCTGCGAAATAAGGTAGTACTTACGAAGTGCTTTGAACAGTTCCTCTCACGTTGCGAGAACAACTCATTAGCTGTTAGCTGCTGCTATTATCATTATTATTACACCTCCAGATGCCTCATTTTTCTCTGAATGGTCAGTTCATTCATTCTTTTGTTCTTTTAACCAGTGTTTATTGAATTTGTACTTTGAATAAGGTATATTCAAGGTGCTAGTGTGTTATATGGAGGCCTGGTTGCACAGTGGTTAAGAGCTTGGCTGCTAACCTAAAGGACAGCAGCTCGCATCCACCGCTCCTTGGAAACTCTATGGGGCAGTTCTGCTCTGTCCTACAGAGTTGCTATGAGTTGGAATCGACTCAGTGGCAGCGCGTTGGTTGGTTGAGTGTGTTACATACATACATACATACATTTATATACATATATATAAGTAATCAAATAATTGATAGTCTAGTAACAGATACGATATAGCTATAGATGGCATTGTTATGGATTGAAATATGTGTTGTAAATTCTAACCTCTGTGCCTGTGGTTATAATCCTGTTTGGGAATGGGTTGTCTTTGTTATGTTAATAAGGCAGGATTAGTGTAGGGTGTATCTTGAGTCTGTTACTTTTGAGATATAAAAAGAGATTAAACAAGTGAGCAGAGAGAGAGATGGGGTAGGAGATATGCCAAGACACGTGGAGATCTCCCAGGAACCAGAAAGCAGATGCTGAAGACAAAAGGACCTTTTCCCCCAGAGCCAACAGAGAGAGAAAGCCTTTCCCTCGAGCTGGTACTCTGAATTCAGACTTGTAGCCTCCTAAACTGTGAGAAAATATATTTCTTTTTGTTAAAGCCACCCACTTGCAGTATTTCTGTTATAGAAACACTAGGTAACTAAGACAGAATTTGGTACCAGAAGAGTAGGGTGCTGCTCTAACAGATACCTAAAATGTGGAAGCAGTTTTGGAATTGAGTAATAGGTGGAGGCTGGAAGAGCTTTAAAGTGCCTAACAGTAAGAGCCCAGATTGCCTTGAAGAGACTGTTGGTAGAATTATGGATGTCAAAGGCAATTCTGGTGGGGGCTCAGAAAGAGGTGAGGAGAGCTATAGAGAAAGTCTCTGTCACCTCAGAGAATACGTATGGCACTAGCAACAGAATGTGGCTAGAAATGTGGACATTAAATGTGCTTCTGGTGAGGCTTTAAAAGAAAATGATGACCATGTGATTGGACAGTGGAGGAAGGGCGATGCTTTTTAGGCAGTGGCAAAGAACTTGTCTGAATCATGTTCAGATGTTTGGTGGAAGGTAGAACTTGTAAGTGATAAACTTGTATCTGGCTGATGAGATTTCTAAGCAAGATCTTAAAGGGGCCACATTACACTTACAGTTTCTCCTTGCCACTTACAGTAAAATGCAAGAGGAAAAAGATGGACTTAAAAATGAACTGTGCAAAATGAAAACAAACTTAAAAGATTTGGAAAATTCTGTTGTATAAACTAAGGACACATGTCCTAGAATGTTCACCAATGATGTAGCTACACAATCTTTTGTTAAAGAGATTAAGCCTGTGACTGATGGATCTAACCAGCTACCAAAGCAGAAGACCCATCAGTTTAGACTGAAGGGGACCGAGAAAGAAGGAAAGGAGATAACGCGGTCTGCCTCTTGGAATTCTACAGGCAGGAAACAGGCCAAAGGAGCTACATCTGTTGTCCATCAAGAAAAGAAAAGGACCATCCCTGGAGCAGCTCGGAGATCAGCAGAACTGTTAAAAGGAGCATGGGAAGCAGGGCCTTCTCAGTTTCAAAGGCTGGGGCCACGATGCCGGGGTCTTAAAGGGTGGGACCACAGCCTCCTAGGTTTCAAAGAGTCAGATTTTAGCCAACTAAAAGTGTGGGGCTGTGGCTAAGGTGTGCCGGCGGGTGGGGCCACCAACCAAAACTGAGGGGGCGGGGCTGCCATGCTCAAGGGGCGGAAGAATGGGGCCTGCTGGGGTCGAGGGGGTGGGGTCGCCACTAAGATGGACTAGAAGAATGGGGCTGTCCAAAGCCGAGGGAACAGAGTTGCAGTCCCAGTGGGCCTGGAGGGTGGAGCATGGCCGAGAGAGCTCCACCTGGAATCCAGAGAGTGGCCAACGTCCAGAGTCTGGAGGGCAGGGCCATTGCCTAGATGCTCTCAGAGAAGACAGAATTATTTTCAAGCCTTGAGAGCTCATGTAAATTGTTCTGCTAGGTTTTGGATTTGCTTGGTCCCTGATATACTTTCTTTCCCTCCAATTTCTCACATTTGTAGTGGAAATGTCTACCTTGTGCCTGTTCTGCCATTGTACTTTGGAAACAGATAACTTGTAATCTAGATTTCACAGGTTCACAGATGAAGAGGAATTTTGCCCCAGGATTGAATACACCTAAAGTCTCACCCGTATTTGATTGAGACGATTCAGAAGATGAGGTTTTGGACTTGGGGTTGATTTAAGACTTTTGGGGTGATGTGATGGGGTGAATGTGTTTTGCATATGACAAGGACATGAATTTTGGGAGATGAAAGGGTGGAATGTTATGGATTGAACTATATCCTCAAAAATATGTGTTGTGAGTCCTAACCTCTCCGCTGGTGGTTATAATCCCATTTGGGATTGGGTTGTCTTTGTTATGTTAATGAGGTGAGATTAGTGTAGGATGTATCTTGAGTCAGTCTCTTTTAAGATATAAAAAGAGATTAAACAAGCCAGCAGAGAAGAGATGAGGTGAGATAGATGCCAAGACACATGGAGATCTCCACGGAGCCAGGAAGTAGAAGCTGAAGAGACAAGTACCTTCCTCCAGAGCTGACAGAGAGAGAAAGCCTTCCACTAAAGCCGATGCTCTGAATTTGGACTTCTAGCCTCCTGAACTGTGGGAAAATAAATTTGTTTGTTAAATCCATCCACTTGTGGTATTTCTGTTATAGTAGCACTAGGTAACTGAGGTAGGCATATAAGAAGAAAAAGCTGACATAAAGAAGGCGGTGAGAGATAGAGGAATTTGGGTAATTGGGAAGATGATGATCTTTAAGAAAAACACAGGTCAGAAGCGGAAAAATATTTGAAGGTGTTATGGATTGAATTGCATGTCCCCAGAATATGTGTTGGTCCTGACCCCTATACCTGTGGACGTAATCGTATTTGGAAATAAGGTTTTCTTTGTTATGTTAATGAGGCCATATTAGTGTAGGGTGTGTCCTAAATCTAATCACTTCTGAATGATATAAAGAGCAGCATAGACACAGAGACTAAAATCCAAAACCAAACCTGTTGGCATCTAGTTGATTTATACTTGTGGCGAGCCAATGTGTTACAAATAAAATTACTTTATAGGGTTTTCTTGGCTGTAATCTTAATGGAAGATTGTCAGGCCTTTCTTCCATGGTACTGCTGGGTAAGTTCGAACTGCTAACCTTTAAGTTAGCAGTTGAGTACAAACCATTTGTGCCACCTTCGTGCCCTGGTGGCGCAGTGGTTAAGAGCTTGGCTGCTAACCAAAAGTTCAGCAGTTCAGATCCGCCAGTGGCTCTTCAGAGACTGTATGGGGCAGTTCTACTCTGTCCTATAGGGTCTCTGTGAGTTGGAATTGCCTCGACGGCAATGGGTTTGGATTCTTTTTTTTAGGGACCTTAGACACAAGAGACAAGCACAAACGGGAAGATAGCTGCCACATGGGGATCAAGGGACCAAGGAATGCCAGGGCCACAGAAGCTGAGTGTGTCCCAGTGTCAGAACCAAAACAGCTCTCAGCTTTTTCTCGACTGTGCCAGCTGTCGGCCCTCCTCTCGGCCAGGCCAGCCAGCGACCTTTCTCTCTGTGGTGTCAGCCAATGGCCTCTGCCACCAGGCTCCTCTCAGCCTCTGCCCTGGTTGGGCAAGTGTTATAGCTCTTTAACTATGTCAGCAAGCCTCCTGCCAGAAGGCATCCAGCTCTCTTTCTCCCTCTGGGTCAGCAAGCCCACTGCGGTCGTCTCTCTCTCTCCATGGGCCAGCAAGCCTAACATCCCATCTCTTACCAGTCTCCTGTTTCTTGCTGCTTATACTGCTGCCACTGTTTTTCTGCTGCTGAGCTCTGCTGTGCTTGCTACCACTTCCCACTGTCTTCAATGTTACAGCTCTCTCTTCTGGGTCTAGGAGGTTCTCAGTGCAGGGACCCTGGGTCCAAAGGACGTGCTCCACTCCAGACTCTTCTTGGTGGTAGTGAGGCTTCCCCCTTCAACCTCTGTGAGATTGGCCCTTATATTCAACTTCAAAGCATGGCCCTTCTAGCTGACCAGTTCAGGTCACTTAGTCCTTATTGGTGGTTTTATACACCCTATTTGCATACTAAACAGACCAATCCCTGAAAGGTGTGTAAAATAGACCAATCACAAGGCAGGCTATGGCCCAACCATTTATTTTTGGCAGAATTATAAAACCCAAGGCAACAAAGGCCATGTATAAAAGAAACTCACTGCACAGCACTGAGTCTAGAGAGCTTTCCCCTGTAACCAGTGCCCTGAACTCAAACTTCTAGCCTCCTAAACTGTGAGAAAATAAATTTGTTTTTTAAAGCCATCCACTTGTGTATTTCTGTTACAACAGCACTAGCTAA